TTTGAGGGGGTTTGCAGGGATTTGGGCTGTTTTGGGCTGTTTTTGGGCTGTTTCGGGTGGTTTTGGGGCTGGTTTTGGGTGTTTTGGGGGTGTTTTGGGCTGTTTTGGGGGTGTTTTGGGTGGTTTTGGGTTATTTTCGGGCTGTTTTGGGGTGTTTTGGGGGGTTTGGGGGCTGTTTCGGGGTGTTTCCAGGGTGTTTTGGGGTGTTTTGGGGCTGTTTCGGGGTGTTTTCAGGGTGTTTGGGGGGTTTGGGGGCTGTTTCGGTGTGTTTCGGGGCTGTTTCAGGGTGTTTTCAGGGTGTTTTGGGTGGTTTTGGGTTATTTTCAGGGTGTTTTGGGGTGTTTTGGGGCTGTTTCGGGGTGTTTTCAGGGTGTTTTGGGGTGTTTTCAGGGTGTTTTGGGGTGTTTTGGGGCTGTTTTGGGGTGTTTTCAGGGCGTTTCGGGGTGTTTTGGGTGGTTTTGGGTTATTTTCAGGGTGTTTCGGGGTGTTTTGGGGCTGTTTCGAGGTGTTTTCAGGGTGTTTGGGGTGTTTTCAGGGTGTTTTCAGGGTGTTTTCAGGGTGTTTGGGTTATTTTCAGGGTGTTTTCAGGGTGTTTTGGGTGGTTTTGGGTTATTTTCAGGGTGTTTGGGGTGTTTTCAGGGTGTTTCGGGTGTTTGGGGTGTTTTCAGGGTGTTTTCAGGGTGTTTTGGGGCTGTTTCGAGGTGTTTTGGGCTGTTTTCAGGGTGGTTTGGGTTATTTTCAGGGTGTTTGGGGTGTTTTCAGGGTGTTTTCAGGGTGTTTGGGGTGTCTGGGGGTTTGGGGGTCAGGCCGTACCGGGCCCCGTCCCCGCCCAGCCGCATCCGCAGCTGCTTCAGCTCCTCCTGCAGGGCCTCGCGCTGCCCGTGCAGCTGCTCCCGCGCCGCGCGCTCCGCCTCGAAATCCGCCCGGTAGATGTCGGCCTGGGAGCCCCGAAACCGGCCGGGAACCCCAAATCAGGCGGGGAACCCAAATCCAACAGGGAACCCGAAATCCAACCAGGGAACCCCCAAATCCAACAGGGAACCCCAAATCAGGCGGGGAACCCGAAATCCAACAGGGAACCCCGAAATCCAACCAGGGAACCCCGAAATCCAACAGGGAACCCCCAAATCAGGCGGGGAACCCGAAATCCAACAGGGAACCCCGAAATCCAACCAGGGAACCCCGAAATCCAACAGGGAACCCAAAATCCAACAGGGAACCCAAAATCCAACCAGGGAACCCCGAAATCCAACAGGGAACCCCGAAATCCAACAGGGAACCCAAAATCCAACAGGGAACCCCGAAATCCAACAGGGAACACCAAAATCCAACCAGGGAACCCCGAAATCCAACCAGGGAACCCGAAATCCAACAGGGAACACCAAAATCCAACCAGGGAACCCCCAAATCAGGCGGGGAACCCGAAATCCAACAGGGAAAACCAAAATCCAACAGGGAACCCCCAAATCAGGCGGGGAACCCGAAATCCAACAGGGAACCCCGAAATCCAACCAGGGAACCCAAAATCCAACCAGGGAACCCGAAATCCAACAGGGAACCCGAAATCGGCCGGGAACCCCAAAACCCAGCTATGGAACCCCAAAATCAGCCAGGAACCCCAAAATCAGGCAGGGAACCCAAAATCCAACAGGGAACCCGAAATCAGACGGGGAAAACCAAAATCCAACAGGGAAAACCAAAATCCGGCCAGGAAACCCGAAACCCAACCAGGGAATCCCAAAATCCAACCAGGGAACCTGAAAATCCAGCTGGGAACCCCAAAACCCAAGCAGGTAACCCCAAAGCCCAACCAAGGAATCCCAAAATCCAACCAGGAACCCCAAAAAACAACCAGGGAACCCCAAAACCCAACTGGGGAACCCCAAAATCCAACCGGGGAACCCCAAAATCCAGCCTGGGACACCCCAAAATCCAGGCCCGTCCCCAGGACCCCTCAAACCTCTCTGGGGACCCCCAAATCCCCCCAGCCCCCCCTTGGGGACCTTCCCCTGGTTTTGTGGGGTTGGGGGAGGTTTAGGGGGGTCTCTGGGGAGGTTTGGGGGTCTCTGGGGAGGTTTGGGGGGTCAGGGGGGATTTGGGGTGTTCGGGGGTCTCGGGACCCCCCAAATCCCCCAGCCCCACCTGGGCCTGCAGCACGGGGATGGTCTCCAGGGCCGCCCGCTGGTGCTCGGCCTCGGCCTTGAGGCGGTCGATGAGCTCCTGCTTGAGAGCCAGCGCCGCCTCGGCCGCGCGGAGCTGCTCCTGGGCCACCTGGGGACAGGGACATCACCTGGGACACCTGGGACACCTGAGAGATCACCTGGGACACCTGTGTCACCTGGGACACCTGAGAGATCACCTGGGACACCTGAGAGATCACCTGGGACACCTGTGTCACCCCCTGTCACCCCCAGCGCCGCCTCGGCCGCGCGGAGCTGCTCCTGTGTCATCTGTGGGACAGGGACACCTGGGACACCTGGGGGCCACCTGGAGGTCACCTGGGACACCTGGGGGCCACCTATGCCACGTGAGAGATCTCCTGTGACACCTGAGGGGTCACCTGGAACACCTCTGAATCACTTGTGGGTCACCTGTGCCACCTGTGGGTCAGCTGTGCCACCTGAGAGGTCTCCTGTGACACCTAAGGGGTCACCTTGTGACACCTGGGGGTCACCTGTGCCACCTGAAAGATCTCCTGTGCCACCTGAGAGATCACCTGTGCCACCTGTGCCACCCCCAGCCCTCCCCTCCTGTGTCACCTGGGGCACCACAGTGACACCTGGGGGGTGGCACTGTCACTTGGGGACTCACCTGAGGGCCACGGGGACATCCCAGGTGACCCCAAGGGACACCCCAGGTGTCCCCAAGGAGCCACAGGGACATAATGAAACAGGGGACAAGGGGCTGTCCCAGGGGAGGGACGTGACCCTCCATGTCCCCCGGGTGTCCCCGGTGTCCCGGGTGTCCCCAGTGTCCCCGGGTGTCCCCTGCTGTCCCCGGTGTCCCCGGGTGTCCCCTGCTGTCCCCGGGTGTCCCCGGGTGTCCCCTGCTGTCCCCTGCTGTCCCCTGCTGTCCCCAGGTGTCCCCAGGTGTCCCCGGTGTCCCCTGCTGTCCCTGGGTGTCCCTGCTGTCCCCTGCTGTCCCCGGTGTCCCCGGTGTCCCCGGTGTCCCCGGTGTCCCCGGTGTCCCCTGCTGTCCCTGGGTGTCCCTGCTGTCCCCTGCTGTCCCCTGCTGTCCCCGGTGTCCCCGGTGTCCCCGGTGTCCCCGGGTGTCCCTGCTGTCCCCTGTCCCTCACCTGGCTCCGTTTGTCCCCCTCCAGGCTGGCCTTGATGTGGGCGTCGTACTCCTGGAACAGGTGATGGTAGGCGGCCTGCAGCTGCACCAGCTT